CCCTCTGACAGTGCCCGCTCCCTCAGCACTGACCCTCTGACAGTGCCCGCTCCCTCAGCACTGACCCTCTGACAGTGCCCGCTCCCTCAGCACTGACCCTCTGACAGTGCCCGCTCCCTCAGCACTGACCCTCTGACAGTGCCCGCTCCCTCAGCACTGACCCTCTGACAGTGCGGCGCTCCCTCAGCACTGACCCTCCCACAGAGCCTGCCCCCTCAGCAGTGGAATCCAGGGTGTTGACAATGGGGGTGTTGGTCTATGCAGTGGGACTGGAACCCCTTGCCCTCTTACTGCAGCTGAAAAGATTTTCACCTGTCAGCTGGTGCTGGGAACGGAACAGTGGGATGTGACTGAAATGCCCCATTGTTCTCATGTAAGCCTGTGTGATTATCCAGGTCACCCGGGGGACGTGTTCGGACCAGCTATTCAGCTGCCCATTTTGCCAGAAGACCTTCCAGTACCAGCGCATGCTCAACAGGCACCTGAAATGCCACAACGATGTCAAACGCCATCTCTGCAACTTCTGTGGGAAAGGCTTCAACGACACGTTTGACCTCAAGCGACATGTACGAACACACACAGGTAATGGAGCAGTAAATCCCCTTTCTCACTTTCCTCCAGTTCGGAATGTGCTGGCATGTGTAGTTGAGAGGTTCATAAATTGGGGTTCCTGCTCCTTAAGAGTGGGACAGTGTCCATGTCTGGGAAGTGGGGGTAGTGGGCACGGGAGCCTCAGCAGAACAATGCCAGCACTGAAACAGTTAAATTGCACGTTAAGGCCACACACCCCACCCTGCTATAGGAAGGATATTATTAAACTGGAGAGGTTTCAGAAGAGATTTACCAGGATGTTGCTGGGAATGGAGGGTTTGAGTTATAAGGAGAGGCTGGATAATCTGGGACTTTTTTCACTGGAGCGTAGGAGGTTAAGAGGCGACCTAATACAAGTTTACAAAATAATGAGGGGTATAGATAGGATTAATGGCGAGTGTCTTTCCCCTGAGAGGGGGGATTTCAAGACCAGGGGGCACATTTTTCAGGTGAGAGGAGAGAGATTTAAAAAAGACAGGAGTAAAATTTTTTACACAGAGCGTGGTTCATGTGTGGAATGAACTTTCAGAGGAAGCGGTGGATGTGGGTACAGTTACAATGTTTAAAAGACGTTTGGATAAGTACATGGATAGGAAAGGTCTGGAGGGATATGGGCCAGGAGCAGGCAGGTGGGGCTAGTTTAGTTTGGGATTATGGTCGGTATGGACCAGTTGGGCCGAAGGGTCTGTTTCCGTGCTGTATGACTATGACACTAGTGTGTCATAGTTTAAAAGGTGATGGGGCACTCCCTCAGCGCCGACCCTCCGACAGTGCGGGGCTCCCTCAGCGCCGACCCTCCGACAGTGCGGGGCTCCCTCAGCGCCGACCCTCCGACAGTGCGGGGCTCCCTCAGCGCCGACCCTCCGACAGTGCGGGAGGGGCTCCCTCAGTAGTGCAGTCGCTGAGTATAGCTGTGGTCTTAGTTGATTAAAAGTGCTTTATGTAAATATCACTGACCTTTGCTCCCCTCCTGGCAGGGATACGCCCGTATAAATGTCACATGTGTGAGAAGGCCTTTACTCAACGCTGCTCACTTGAGTCACACCTGAAAAAGATTCACGGTGTACACCAGTCGTACGCCTACAAGGAGAGGCGAACAAAGCTGTACGTCTGTGAGGAGTGTGGGTTCACAGCTGAGAGCCAGGACTGTCACCTCATCCACCTGAAGGAGGAACATCCCAACAGCCCGCTCCTGCGCAAAGCCTCAAAGAAAGCAGCGGCCATGAAGGAAAGCTCCCTACCGGAGACTCTCAGCATGTAATCTCTGATCTCCTTCAACTCCCCTCCTTGCCACTAACCTCTCTCTGTCATTGCCACAGGGCCCTCGGGCGGTGGGGCTAACTGGTCCAAAACCCCCTCCTCCCCTCTCACTGCTCACTGGGATGGCACAGGGGTTAGCGCTGCTGCCTCACGGCGCCAGGGACCTGGGTTCGATCCCCACCCTCGGGTGACTGTCTGTGTGGAGTTTGCACATTCTCCCCGTGTCTGTGTGGGTTTCCTCCCGGTGCTCCGGTTTCCTCCCACAGTCTGAAGGTGTGCAGGTTAGGGTGGATTGGCCATGGGAAATTGTCCTGTAGTGCCCAGGGATGTGCAGGTTAGGGTGGATTGGCCGTGCTAAATTGTCCCATAGCGCCTAGGGATGTGTAGGTTAGGGTGGATTGGCCGTGCTAAATTGTCCCATAGTGCCCAGGGATGTGCAGGTTAGGGTGGATTGGCCATGCTAAATTGTACCCTGGTGCTCAGGGATGTGCGGGGAGGTGGAGTAGCCATAGGAAATACAAGGCTATAGGGAAAGAGTGGGTCTGGGTGGGATTCTCTTTGGAGGGTCAGCGTGAACTCAATGGGCTGATTGGCCTGTTTCCACACTATAGGGATTCTATGATTCTAGCCCCAAATACCACTCAGGGTCATCACCAGAGGGCTTGTCGGTGGGGTAGAAGGGGTCAGGGTGGCATCTCCAGGGGACCACTGAGCTGCAGGTTCCGATTGTCAGGCTATTCAACTGCGGAACCATCGCTGCCCTTGCCGATCAACTCTTCACTGAGTCACTGTTTGAGTGACCCACTCACTAACGGAGATACTGGGAACATGACCCACAGCTGACCACTGGGATGTGACTGAGACTCTAACAACAGCCTGCTTGCCTACAAACTGCACTTACCCTCAAACGGAGAATTATGGAAAATAATTTTCGCTCTTTATCACTGGTTTGGAAAATCTACAAAAAAAAAGCCAAGAATTACATGGGCAATATGTACAATACTTGAATGACCTGAGCAGCATTTCCACTCTATGTTTGTAATGTAATTATTGAGATCTGTGAGAACCTTGTATCAGATTGTTATGTTTTTAAGCTGGGACAATTTTCAAGGGATTTTTATGAACTTTATGGATAGGGGACACATACTGTATGCAATACAGTTACTACACTGAGATTATTGATCAGTACAATCAATGCAATATGTTTACTTCAGCACGAACTGTTCTGCCATCAAACACTCCCAGGATAGGGACAGTACGGGGTTAGATACAGAGTAAAGAACGCTCCAGGAGTCTTGGAAGGTTTGAAACTTGGAACTTGAAGGAATCAATTACCTCAAATGAACTGCTGAACACGGAAAATTGCGAGTTAAAATTTCAAGTTGAATTTGGGAACATTTAAATAACTGCTTTTTTACTTGGGCCTGAGAGAATACACCTCAGACCTTGATGATGTATGACACTGACTAATCATCTCCCTTCCCTATCTTTGTCACCTCCTCCAGTCCCTACACCACCTCCCTATCTCTGTAACCTCTTCCAGCCCCCTACACCCCTTCCCTATCTCTGTAACCTCTTCCAGCCCCCTACACCCCCTCCCTATCTCTGTAACCTCCTCCAGTCCCTACCCCCCTCCCTATCTCTGTCACCTCCTCCAACCCTGCAATGTCTCTGCTCTCCTCAAATTCAGGCCTCTTGAGCACCCCCCACTCCCCTGACTCCTCTCGCTCTGCCCTTGGTAAACGTGCCTCCAGTACACCCTTTCGTTCCTGAACCTTTCCGTCTCTCTCCTTCCTCCATTAAGATACTTCTTAAAACCAACCTCTGTGTGTAAGCCTGTAGGCACCTGCCCCTAATAACTCTTGCTGTGGCTCAAATGTTTGTCTGATACAACCCATGTCCAGCGACATGGGATGCTATATAACGGCAATCTGTTCTTTACAAGTTTTGGCATTTGAGGGAAAACATTGTCATGTAATTTTGTTGATAACCATTTTTGATGACAATTTATTTGTGGCTATTGGACTATTGTTTATTTTTATAAGGAAAAAAATGCCAGATTTTGGACAGTCGGCAAAACTTAATGGTTAAATGTGCCAAGGGCAGAGGTCAGGAATGAGAATCTGTCATTGTGCAGGGGCCAGGAGGAATCAGCTATCTACTGACACCTGCTGGTGGATGGGAGGGCATACGGACATCTGGGCAAGGACAGAATAGGGCCCTGACTTCACTCCATCCCTATTATACTAGGCTGTCATACAAAGGCAGAGGTGCGGAGGGAGGGCAGGGACGTAAAGAGAGAATTCAACATTGGAGGGTTCAGTACTGATGGAGTGCTGCACTACTGGAACGTCTACACTGAGGGAGAATGGTCACTGGACCTGAAACATTAACTCTGATTTGTCGACATAGATGCTGCCAGACCTGCTGAGTTTTTCCAGCAATTTCTGTTTTTGTTTTGATACCGAGGGAGTGCTGCATTACTGGGGGGTTAACACCGAGGGAGTGCTGCATCTCTGATGGGTTAACACCCAGGGAGTGCTGCATTACTGGAGGGTTAACACTGAGGGAGTGCTGCATTACTGGATGGTCATCGACAAGGGAGTGCTGTAGTTCTGGAGACTTAACATCAAGAGAGTGCTGCATTATTAGAGGGTTAACGCTGAGGGAGCACTGTATTACTAGAGGGTTAACACCGAGGGAGTGCTGCATTACTAGAGGATTAATACCGAGGGAGTCCTGCAATACTTGCGGGTTAAAACTGAAGGAATGCTGCATTACTGGACAGTCAACACCAAGGGAGTACTGCGTTATTAGCGGGTCAACACTGAGGGAGTGCTGCATTACTGGGGGATTAACATTGAGGGAGTGCTACACTATTGGAGTGTCTACACTTTAGGTATTCTAGAGAAGGTTTTACTTCTAAGATGAAATGTTAAACCGAAACCTCATCTGATCTTTCATGTGATTTCAAAAGATTCCTTGACTACTATTTGAGGACGAGTAGGGGCTTAGTGGTTAACGGTAAGAGCACAGAGGGGAAAGGGTTCTTAGACTGTGTTCAGGAGAGTTTTTCGTTGTAGTATGTGTCCAATCCTTCAAGGAAGGGGGTACTGCAGGAGCTGCTCGTTGGTAATGAGGTGGGCCAAGCAGGTAAAGGGTCAGTCAGTGGGAACACTTAGGGAATAGTGATCATAGAACCAGTGCAAAAGGATAATGGACAATCCAGAATTGTGGGCATCCCTACAGTACATGGACTGCGGCCGCTCACCTCCACCTTCTTAAGGGGTAATTAGGAACAGGAATAAATGCTGAGCCTGCCAGAGACACCCACATCCTATGTGTTAGTAAGAAAGCCATATGAGGCAGCGCAGTCAAACAATGAGAAGGCTACAAAAAAAAGCACAAATTTTCAGATGTCACAGCTCCATCCTGTATCCAGCTCATTGGAAAGTCACCGCAGTGCATCTGTGGTGGAGGGAGTGGGATGTTTGTGGATGTGATGCCAATCAAGCGGGGGCTGCTTTGTCCTGGATGGTGTCAAGCTTCTTGAGTGTTGTTGGAGCTGCCCCCATCCAGGGGCAAGTGGGGAGTATTCCATCCCACTCCTGACTTGTGCCTTCCAGATGGTGGGACAGGCTTTGGGGGGAGCAAGGAGGTGAGTTACTCGCTGCAGGATTCCCAGCCTCTGACCTGCTCTTGTAGCCCCTGTGTTTACGTGGCTGGTCCAGTTGAGGTTTTGGTCAATGGTAACCCCCAGGATGTTGATAGTGGGGGGATTCAGTGACAGTAACACCGTTGACTGTCAAGGGGCAGTAGTCAGATTTGGTCGTATTTGGTGATGGTCATTGCCTGGCATTTGTGAGGCACGAATGTTACTTGCCACTTGTCAGCCCAAGCCTAGATATTGTCCAGATCTTGTTGCATGTGAACACAGACTGCTTCAGTATCTGAGGAGTCACGAATGGTGCTGAACATTGTGCAATCATTGGGGAACATCCCCATTTCTGACCTTATGATGGAAGGAAAGTCATTGATGAAACAGCTGAAGATGGTTGGGCTTGGTTTTGTGTTCTTGGCTTTGCAGTTATGGAGTCATAGAATCATGGAGACATACAGCATGGAAACAGACCCTTCAGTCCAACACGTCCATGCTGACCAGATATCCTAAATTAATCTAGTCCCATTTGCCAGCATTTGGCCCATATCCCTTTAAACTCTTCCTATTCATGTACCCATCCAGATGCCTTTTAAATATTGTAATTGTACCAGCCTCCACCACTTCCTCTGGCAACTCATTCCATACACGCACCACCCTCTGCGTGAAAAAGTTACCCCTTAGGTCCCTTTTAAATCTTTTCCGTCTGACCTTAAACCTATGCCCTCTAATTTTGACCCCCCCCCGCCAAGAGAAACGACCTTGTCTATTTACTTGATCCATGCCCCTCATGATTTTATAAACCTCTATAAGGTCACCCCTCAGCCTCCCGATGTTCCAGGGAAAATAGCCCCAGACCATTCAGCCTCTTCCTGTAGCTCAAACCCTCCAACCCTGGCAGCATCCTTGTAAATCTTTTCTGAACTTATTCAAATTTCACAACATCCTTCCTACAGCAGGGAGATCAGAATTGAATCCAGTATTCCAAAGATGGCCTCACCAATGTCCACAACATAACCTCCAACTCCTACACTCAATGCACTGACCATCAAAGGCAAACACCTTCTTCACCGTCCTGTCTACCTGCAACTCCACTTTCAAGGAACTATGAACCTGCTCCCCAAGGTCTCTTTGTTCAGCAACGCTCCCCAGGACACTACCATTAAGTGTATAAGCCCTGCCCTGATTTGCCTTTCCAAAATGCAGCACCTCACATTTATCTAAATTAAACTCCATCTGCCTCTCCTCGGCTCCTTGGCCCATCTGATCAAGATCCTGTTGTACTCTGAGGTAACCTTCTTCACTGTCCACTTCACCTCCAATTTTGGTGTCAGCTAACAATCTTTCTAACTCTACCTCCTGTGTTCACATCTAAATCATTCATATAAATGACCATAATTGGAATCTTTCTCATCACAGTTCCTTGGATGGTCATTGGTGGGCAGCACTCAAAGAGAGCGCGTTTTTCTGTTGTCCTGCTTCCTTTTGGGTGGTTTATTAGCCTGCTGACTCCTAGCGCTTAGAACGAGAGAGTCCATTTACCTGCAATGCAGGGGTGACTACTGGCTGGTTCTTCAACTATGACCTTCACCTTCAGTTCGCTTTTCCTGAGCACACCATAGCTTTATGGTTGATCGAGACAGGTGGTGATCATTGGACTTTGTGCTTTGTATGTAAACACTAATTTGGCTGAAAGGGCGATTACAGTTGATAGCTAATAAAATAAGTCCTGGTGATTTTGGTGGTGGGAAGGTCGCTCAGCTGTGTGTGGCAGCATATCTGGATGTAGAGAAAAAAAATTAAGTATCTACCCTTAATGGGTTTTGCACTTAAATATTCAATTGGCCACACAGTGATTTACTGGTGGTGCTTAGTAGTTTAAAAAATGTCACCATGATTTGGTGGCTCAGTGGTTAGCAGTGCTATCTCACAGGGCTGGGTTGGGCGTTTGCAAGTAAATATCTAATTAGCTACATGGGTTATTTACTGCTGGTAGTTAATAGGTGAAAAAAATATAGCAGGGTTGATGCAGGAGAAAACACTCAGTTGGGTGTAAGATGTAAAAAAAATTTTCTGAAGAAGGATCTAGGCCCGAAACGTCAGCCTTCCTGTTCCTCTGATGCTGCTTGGCCTGCTGTGTTCATCCAGCTCTACACCTTGTTATCTCTAAAAAAAAGTTAGGTATCTTTCCAATTTGATTAGCCCCATCCCCCTCACCTTTGATGGTCTGCACTGCCCTGAGGGGACTCTGCATGTAAATTAATCACATGACAAAACACGGCTGATTTACTCATGATGGC